GTGAGCCTGAGCCAGGCTATGATCCGGCTTGTATCTATTATTTAATACTAGATTATAATTATATAGATTATCGATTAGATTATAGATTATCTATATAGATTATATAGATTATAGATTATCTAGATTATTAGATTATATTATAATTATACTAGATTATTATGACAGATTGTATAATAACATAACCACATAACAATGTTATGTGGCCAAGTGATTATATAATCTGTCACGAACGATTCTCATGATGTTCCTTGCTCAATTCAGTTGTTCAATGATATCCGCAAATCCATTTATTTGATATCCTAAATCAACAATTGAATTTCATTACGAACTTACACTTCGAGCTGTTATTGAGTCCCTCTCACTAGAAATCATTATGCAATGCTAGAGAGTATCCTGAAACCCGTGTGCTCTCGAAATCAATGATTAAAGTTAGTATTTCATGAAGACATGATTCCCAGCGCTATTATCGTTAAATGCGCGGAAAGAAGGATATCAAGGATGATTGTGATATTGGTGATAAGAGAGAGGCATAAACTCTTACTGAGTTGCAGTTGCTGATCAAATAAATAATTCATTAATGCACCTGTGTTACAATCTACACCTATCTTTACCATTCTTCAAATCTGCCATTTCAACGAAATTTCCGACCAAATGATCCATCTGCTTAATTTCGTTCCTTCCCAGCCATTACATCCACTTTGTAGCTATGGAAACACTTCGTTATATTAACGGAAATATCTGAAGGAGTTTATCATCAAATATTTTTTAACGGAAATATCTAAAGATGAATTCAATGTATTCGTTATATTTCAGAACACTAATTGCCGTATTATATACATATATAGTCCTTTCCGTTGATACTCACCTAATTTCCGTTGAGGTTTCCGTTTGAGGTGATGCGAGAATGTCCGAACCAAAGCGTTCCTAATCATTCAACCGATTACATTATTAATATTGATCAGTTCAGGAGCCTGCCTTATTGTTTCGTACTTCTTGTGAACTGGTCAACGAGAACAATTGTGCGAAAGTTGAAAAAATGTTGAAATGTCGACAAACTTCTCGAGGCTATTGTTGCAGTTATTAGCTGCTGGCGTAGTTGTTTTCTACGTTTACATCTTTTGGACATTCAACAGAGAGAATGTTTGTTTTTTTTGTTATTTTGCATATTGCACGATAAAAATTTCATTTTTTTTCTATTCGATTCGATCAAATACATTGGAAGAGCTGAAATTGAAATTGACATATTCCACTGAATTTTTCACCGTAAACAGGTATTCGAAGAAACGTTTAGCGAAGCATTCACAACATTTAAATCGTCATGTTGTTCGTTCATTTACGAGTTTTATGAATTGAACACGGTTTGTTTCGTATGAAAATCGCCAATTTCTGAATTGAATGATTCTTTGNTTGAGCTCACGGAAGTCGACTAGTTCAGAGCTAAATGTAATCAATAAAGTGTAATTTCCAATTTCAGTCAGTGACAAAAAATTTCGAGGATTTGAAATGGGAAGTTGAACAACTCGAAAAACATCTGAAAGATAGTGAATCTAATGTTGAGAAAATCAGGTTGGCAATTTACTTTTATTGTTATTGCACTGGTGAAGATTACTTTCCATTGCAGAACGAGGTTTGAAACTCATTAAGAATAAGGCGCCCAATAAACGTTTAAAATGAACGTCCATAATACCAAATGCTAGTTAAAATGGGAATTTTGAATAGTGCCTAAATGCAGGCGGCTTATACAATGTCTTCAGTGAGGAATTCATGTTACCAAGCTACTCGCAGATAAACTCAAGAAGAATAGGTTTCTATAAGAGCAATCGCATTTCACATCCAAAATCACTACTTCTTCAATTCAACCACGTAATAGTTTGAGGTTATTAAGCAATAATTTCAGACAGGAATTATCCGCTCAGCAAGCTATCTACAGAAGGTTGATATCAAAAGATGATAGCATTCGAGTTCAACCTCGTCATCGAGGTGAACGACTTCGACCAGGTG